TTCTCAGGTTCCATATGAAGTCCTTTTTTATAAATCATACTAATTTAGCAGTATTCCAAATTTCTGGATATTTTAATGTGTTATAAAAGTAATTGAATGAGTCAAGTAGAACTTGTTTGCCCAAAGGAGGTAAAAATTTGACAAATTTGGGAGTTATCAAATCAATACCAGAAGCTAATTTTAATTTCATTTTTCGAATTGAATTTTCAAGTTCATTGTAGGTAAACGGCAAATCGAGCAAACTGTTATTCAAAGTGGAAATTTTTATATTTGATGGATTGTCAATATTTGAAAATCTATTAAAATATTGATTCCAAGCTGATATTTCTGTTTATTTGATGGTCTAAATTTTTTTCTTTCTTAGTTCCTGTATTGTTGTCCAGAATTCCTGTATTTTCTGTAGAAACCAGTTGGTGTTGCAAATTTTTAAAGTAATTTAAGTTTTTTTTGCTTTAATAAATTAAAATATATTGTTTTTAATATTTTGTATACTGTGTTTATAATTGTTACAGTCAAAATCTAAAAAATTGTGTAAATGATGTAATTATTTTACTTATGATAAAACTTTGTATAAATAATTTAATTAATATATAAAATTATCTTATAAAACTTTTGCTAAGTAATAAATTAAAAATTAATTTAAAAAAAAGGTATTTATACTTTTGTTAGACTGTATATATGCATATTATGTTAGAAACTTGTCATTTAAAAAATATTAAATTTTAATTTAAATGTAATCAATCTAAATTGTCTCTATTGTATTTGCATTATAGATGTATGCACACCAATTAATTACATTTCTATATATAAATGTAGTTCGTAGATTTATGCATGGTCTTATGAACTGCATTTTTACCATTATTTTTTGTTTGACGTATTTTATTCTTGGAACAGTTTTTTTTTTTGTTTGTTTGTAAGAATTTTATAAATACAAAATTATACATCATATTTTCAAAAAAATATAGAAAACATGACAGTCATATTGTTTAAATTTTAGAATAGTTTAAACAAGTTTAGTATTTATTATATTGATCATTTGCTTACATGTATATTTACATCTAAAAATGACTGAGTATTCCATCACTTATTTGAAATAATTATATCTTGTCTCATATCTGTTTCCTAAGATTGAATTTTAAATAAATTAATCCATTTTCCAATTTACATGCTTTTTTCCAAAGAATTCCAAGTAAATTATTGACAGGAAATGTTAAACAAATTTCTTCCTATCAAGAAAAATGGGAACAAAGCTCTAAATGGGGCCTCTTTTAGCCTACCAGATTGGTTACAAGATCTGTATATCTGCCAGAATATTTTGTTATGCTAATTTCAGGTTTTTTTAAACTGCAATATCTTGCTTAAAAATCATGCAACATTTGATTTGTTTTCTACCATAAATTGTTTAATTTACAAATCTTGAATTTACAGTATGATCAAGGTTTAAAAAACTTATTAAATGTTACTATTATTTTTTGGTTTAAAATATATTATAAAACATGTAATTAATTTGCTATATATATATATTACTTAGATATATGTATGTATTTTGTTTCCTTTAAAAAAACTTGTTTGTTTCAACTTAACAAATCTCATTTAAGTCTTTTAACATTATTATTTTGTAGATAAATCGACAAAATTGAATAAAAGTTTGGAACATTACGGACAGTTATGAACAGCAAATAATTTGTACAAAAACAAATAAAATAAAAAAATTACTTTTTATTAACAAATAATAATAATTAAAAAATTAAAAGAATCCTTATGAAAGCAAATGCAAATAATCAATAAAATAAAGGGAACATCTTTTGTACAAATATTTCTATTGCTATCACATTGTAAAGCAATGAAATTCATTTTTACAAATGTTTTATGAGTTTCAGGAATATCATACAACTTCTATTCATAATCTCTCCATGTAACATCTTTTGTGATAAATTTCAAACTTTATATACATAATTTTATAAATATCTGAGCAACCAAGCAGTAGAGTAATATTTATAATTTATACATAGTTTAATGTTAACTCATCATACATCACTGATTATACATTACAACATTCACAACTATTTTTACTGAATGATATCAGTAATGCACATTACAATTCCATTGCTGAATTTAGAGCCTGTGACATGAAAGAAATGAATTATGCTATTAGATTTACAACAATTACTTATTTAAATTATTCATAACATTACACAATCTTCATTGTGCAAACAAATACTGAAATTTACACAGAAAGGATAAAATATTGAATATTAAAAATTCAAATACTGATTGAACTAAAATCAACTACAAAATATTTATTTTTAATTAAAATTATATAATTATTAATGGTGGACAAACAACAGCTAATCAAAAATATAGATAGTTACTGAAATGGCAAATATATTCTTGAATAAGGCACTCTGGCTGCAGAGTCTCAATTTGCATTTTTTACTGAAATATTTCTAAATTTGAGGATCTCTGCAATAAAAAATTTAATGGCTGACATTAAGGAAATTACAAAATTATAAATGTAAGAAAATATCACAAAACAAAGATTATTCTTAATTACACAAAGAATTTACATCTATATATGTATATATGTACATTATATGAGAGTGCACTTTTTGAAGTGATGGCCAATATTAGAATAATAATCTTATATAATACTTTTGATAATGACTTAGCAATATAGATTTTCTTTATAACACTGATAAATTGGTATTTCCATCATATAAAGGAAGAATATATCATTTGAATATGACTTTAAATAAATTTACTACATTAAAAAAGATGATTAGTTGCTATCACCTATCTTTCCAAAATTAATTCTGATCATGTGTATCATTCTCTTGAAATGATTCTACATCTTTTTGTATAAATGTAACAGTGAGAAAATAACATTGGAGATCTTTCTTATAGCTTGATACCATTTTAAATATCACATAATATATTTAAATGCTAAGAATTTTAAAAAGTATTCTATAAAAATGTAAGTAAGGAAGATACTGTCTCTCTTTTATCTGAAATTTTTTCTCCTATTTCTGTTATTTTTGACATAACTGAGTCTGATTGAACTTGATTAAATGGCATTTCTTCTTCATTTCAAAAGCTTCAGAAACATAAAATTCATCTTGCTTAGCTAAAGGAGCTAAGAATACAATTTCTTTTTTATTAGAAATTTTCATGACTGAATGAGCACATAGTTTTCTTTCCTTGAGATATTGACACAGTTTTGGATACACTGTTGCAAATGCTACCATAACAGAGAGAGTTTCTTTGAATGGGAATGTAGTCATCACGACATGATCAACTGATGGAAATGAAGCAGTCTGAAATCCTTACCTAAGTAACTTATCTTTATATTTTTGATTAGCTGTTGTTTGTCCATTATTAATTATTGCACCAACCAAGTATGAAGAGTGGAGATGGAGGAAGTAGCAGAAACCCGGACTGGATCTGTAAGAGAAAATATTGTTTTGTACATTTTACAAGAATCATGCATATAAAACTAAAACAGAAATATATCAATTTACCTGTTGTGCTAACATTTATGTCTTACCAGGCATTCTGGGTGAAGGCCCTTTCCACACCGTGTGCAAGCTGTCCTTGATGTTCGCTTCTGTTGTGGAGTGCTGCACACGGCGCAGTGGTACCTTACCACACCTGGCAATTTCCTTAGACCCACCGGTCCTCGGGGGTCTGGAGGGGGTAGCACAACTTCCTTCTCCTTCTTCCTCCATTTCATCCACTCTTCTGCCAGGCTTCCTATTACCGCCTCGTTAAAATCAAGTCGAGGCATAATTCTGGCTTGGCCTTGGGATTGTGAATTCTCCTTGTAAAGAAGATAGGCGTTCAACAACATCCTGGCCATGATATTGAACGCTACCTTCTTCCAATACTTCACAGTTCTCCTTTCATCCAAATATGCATACATCATTTGATCTGATACGTCTACCCCACCCATAAATTTATTATATGAATGAACTATTTCTGGCTTGAATGTAGCTTTCCCATGTTTATCAATTTCGACATCGCGTGCCCGGGCATGGCTGGATAAAAGAATAACAGGATCTATTTTTGATTTCCTTTCCCGAAGGCCACATGCCAATATAGGACCAGATCTGCAATAAGAGATCTGTCCTACAGAGAATTTGCCTTTTAACTGAGGCGGTAATAGTTTCCTATTCCTCCGCACTGTTCCTGTGATATAAGTATTCAGAGAATACAGGCTGCGAATCAGGGGTACCGACATGAAATAATTATCAACGAAAACATGGTAGCCTTTATTGATATAGTTACCAATCCCCAGTAGCTTCATGACCACAGTATACGCCACACCAAACTTTGAAACGCTCTGCTTCTCCTCCTGGCACTTGGCCCCTCTGTAAGTGAAAAAGCCCAGGCAGTAATGTGAAACGGAGTCACAGAGCATCCAAAGCTTGATTCCCCATTTATGATGTTTTTTATTAGGCATATACTGTAGCATGCTGCTACGGTTCTTGGTACCTACCAATGTTTCATCAATAGATATTTCCTTGTGAGGTGTATAATGTTGTCGGAACACCCTATTCGCATGATCCTCTAAAGGTAGATACCTTGCTCGAGGATCTTAACCTGGTTCCCTTCTGCCAGGCAACTTATTGTTGTCAACAAGATGGAAGAATCGAAGCAAGTGACAAAAACGGTGCTTAGAAAACATTTGGCCATACCACGGAGTTACTGTACATCCGGTAGTGGCCCAGTATTTTGCAATACTACTTTTTTTTACTAATCCCATCGAAAAAACAACAGCTAAAAAACCCTTTATTTCATTAATCGTAATTTTTTTGAAATTCCAAAGATATTGGGGCACCTTCCCCCCCATGTCATTTATGACTTGCTTTGCATATCTGTTTGATTCTGCTGCCATAAGAGAAAGCAAAGACACAGTGAAGAATAAGTTGAAGTAATCAATTGGCTGAGAGTCAGCCGAAGGCATATTTTTGGGGCCAGGTAGTTCCAGGAAAGGGAAAGGATCAGAGAGAGGTTGTTCTGGTGGCAGAACCTCAAGATATTCCTCTTCCAACTCATCATCAGGATTAGGCGCGTCATTGGAATTAGGAATGCGTGGTGCGGTTGGTGGTGCACGTGGGCGTGCAGTCGGTGGTGCACGTGGGCGTGCAGTCGGTGGTGCACGTGGGCGTGCGGTCGGTGGTGCACGTGGGCGTGCGGTCGGTGGTGCACGTGGGCGTGCGGTCGGTGGTGCACGTGGGCGTGCGGTCGGTGGTGTTCCGGGTCGAGCAGGTACCACCGGTGCGGCAAAAGTTACTGGTGCTTTAAAAGTAACTGCAGCAGAAAAAGTCACCGGCTTGGTGAAGGTTACCTGCTCGACAAACGTTACTGGTGTACCAAAAGTTACTGGCTCATCAACAACAAAAGTCTCTTCATCATCAACAGCGTAACTGTCGGGCTCGTCAGCGGCGTAACTGTCGGGCTCGTCAGCGGCGTAACTGTCGGGCTCGTCAGCGGCGTAACTGTCGGGCTCGTCAACGGCGTAACTGTCGGGCTCGTCAACGGCGTAACTGTCGGGCTCGTCAACGGCGTAACTGTCGGGCTCGTCAACGGCGTAACTGTCGGGCTCGTCAACGGCGTAACTGTCGGGCTCGTCAACGGCGTAACTGTCGGGCTCGTCAACGGCGTAACTGTCGGGCTCGTCAACGGCGTAACTGTCGGGCTCGTCAACGGCGTAACTGTCGGGCTCGTCAACGGCGTAACTGTCGGGCTCGTCAACGGCGTAACTGTCGGGCTCGTCAACGGCGTAACTGTCGGGCTCGTCAACGGCGTAACTGTCGGGCTCGTCAACGGCGTAACTGTCGGGCTCGTCAACGGCGTAACTGTCGGGCTCGTCAACGGCGTAACTGTCGGGCTCGTCAACGGCGTAACTGTCGGGCTCGTCAACGGCGTAACTGTCGGGCTCGTCAACGGCGTAACTGTCGGGCTCGTCAACGGCGTAACTGTCGGGCTTGTCAACGGCGTAACTGTCGGGCTCGTCAATGGCGTAACTTTCCTTCTCCTCGGTGGTGAAATTTTCTGGATCGTCAAAAAAGGTTTCATCGCCAGAATATTCAGATTCGAGTTCAGAAATATCTATATCATTTAGATCACTCTCAGACTCATTAAAAAGTGAGTCATAAGATTGATCTAAATAATAAGACATTTCTGACTCCTTTACTTTTTTATTGTTTGATGAATCCATTGGAAATCTAATTTGGAATAAAAACTACATGTTACAATTGAAAATACAAGTAGAAAAGAAAAATTAAGAAAAATAAAACACTAATACTGTACTAATAAAAAAAAAAAGACTAGAATATTAAATATAATCATTTATATAAAGTTTATATTATTTCTATATTATCTTAACACATTGGAGATAATTTTCAAAAATTACATTGCATATTTCATCAAAACAATTTAATTATCAAATTGTTAAATTATAAGTTGTTTCAATACTGTTTATTGCATTTGGTCATGAATTTATGTTTGTAATATTAATACATAAAAATTTATAATACACAATCATCTACAAAATATGATAATATATATTACAGTACATGTATTAAATTTTATCTTTTCAATAAATACAAAGGCAAGATTCTAGAACAAATGTACCAGATTTTTGCCCCTCAAAAAGCTATATTAAATTTTTAAAAATTAAAATAACATTTTACTGTTTTTTTAGAAGTCTTTAAAACTAATTATTTTAAAACTTCTACAGACTTTTACAGGCAAAAGAATGGAATTGCAATGGGATCAATTATTATTCCAAAATAGGCAGAAATCTGCATGATTACGATAGATGAGAAAATATCACATTTTAGAGGTATTTGCTATTATGCGAGATATGTCGATGATGATATAATATATGGCTAACAAATAACAACAGCCAAAGAAGTTGAAGAATATGCAAATAATTTAAATAAAAACTTAAATTTACATAGAAAGATGAAAATAACCAAGAATTGAATTACCTCAACATTACAATTATTAACCCTCCTACCACAAGGCAGTGTCAGATCCAACACGTCTTGTTTCTTTTTGTTTGCACAGGAAATTACGCTAGTGATGGAGGGCTGTGACCATAAATTACCCTATCAGGCAGTAGTTCTCAAGACAGCAGCATGGAAAAATAAGTTGTCAACCTTTAATTTTTCTCATTATTTAGGTACTATTAGAGCGCACTCTGCTCCGGTGTCATATACAACACCCCCTTGTGATGTATGTTATATTTTTCATCATGTAGGAAAAGCCTAAAGAGCTATTTCTTGATTATCTACTGTTGTTTGGCAGATTACTATAGCAGAATATCAACAATTTACTAAGGACGAAGAAATTCGTCAAGAATTGTTACTGCAACAGGTCAAGAATTATTACAGTAAATTTCAATGGTCATAATAAGAATTCTTCAAAATTTCTGTATGATGAACTGAAGATGCTTGTTTCTTTCTGTCTGCAGAAAAATAAACATATCATCCATGCATTACACTGGTAAAATTGACCAAATCACCCAAAAACCTGTTATAGTCGAATTCTATAATGTGACTAAAGGGAATGTGGATGTTTTTGATAAGTTATGTCGTGCAAAATCTGGCCTATGCAATACTTCTATGGCATTTTAGATGCAGCAGCAGTAAATGTCTATGCAATCTACAAGCTAAATATGCCACAGAAACATAGAAGCAACACCTGTCGGGCTGACTTCTTGAAGAAACTTTCGTTTTCACTAGTTACACCACACATGAAGGAAAGGATGACATATCCCCACATTAGTAAAACATTGATAGAAGAAATGTACATCCTAGGAATAGAAATACTTGAAGATGCACCATCACTAAATCCATCCACATCAGCAAGGCCATAAAAATGTTCCTTTTGTGGATGAAAAAAAAATTAAAGAGGAAATCACCTATGCACCAAGTGCAAGAAAAGTATTTGTGGTGAACACAAGAAAGTGATTTCTCTGTCATGCATATGATTAAATAAATAAAAATAAAAACATTTGTTCTTAAAAAATAAAAACATTTGTTCTTAAAAAATAAAATATTTGTTCCTAATTTAAAAAACTGTAATTGTAATCTTGTAAATAAAAAAACTTTGTTCCTAATTAAACACAATTTTGTAAGTTTTATAATTTATTTTGTATACTAGTACTTTCTATGTATTAACAGGACTTAATTATACTGGGAAATTATGGATGCAGATGATATTTAGTCTTACAGTTCAAAAATAATGTTCTTTATTTAGTTCACCTGAACAGGTGAACTAAATAAAGAACATTATTTTTGATGCATCCTGGAACAACATACTTCAGTATAAAAAAACTTCTGTAAACTAATAATGTATCCATTGACATTCTTTTTGCACTTTGACGAGAATAAAAAAAACTAATGTTTTTGTTATCTTTAACCAAACCAAGTCAACCAAGTGTTTAAAACTAATCAGCAATCATTATCTTTGAAGAAATACCAGTTAAACATGGTAGACCTCCACTTAACGGGACTAAACTGGGAAGTAACAAGACTCAACCAAGCCCATCTAACTCCATGCTTATAACAGATTTTAACCTAATAGTGGATAAAGACATATAAAAACCATCCTTAGTGATCAACAATTCTCATGGACAATATCACAAAGTCTACAAAGTTTTCCATATGAGTCTAATGCATTCTATCTGATCTCTCTGACTAATTCAGGTGACTCACCTGTCACTTCAACAACAGATCTACGGTATAAAATCTCGGAACTGATAAATACTTCTAATGACAAGCAATCTTCCCAAATGACTTTTATAAAAGAAGACTTGGATGCTTTGATTAATGAACTTCACTATAACAATATATTTGTATAATTATGCTAAGTCAAAAAAATATCTCTAAATTAAAATTTCATAACTTTATCAATTGTTCACTAAACATGCATAATGCATCACAAGAAGAGATTCTAGACATCTAGACATAACTCAAATAACCAAATCAACCAATCCAGTCATAAGACTAACATTTAGTAATAAACAGGTTAATGACCAGGTTTTTAATGCCTTTATTTCAAAGAAATAACAGAATCTGTTGGAAAATTGGGAAAATATGTAGATCTCACCAGACCACTAAGGAATCATGAAAAATATGAAAACACTTCCAACCTATTATGACATAAGAAAACAAAACTGTCCAATAAAACTACGAAATGATATTTTACTAATAGGCCAAGGCAGAATAACATTCGGTATCAATAAAGGAAAGTTGGTTTATGTGGATACTTTTTTGCTTTTTGCCAATCTGGGGTGTTCACTATTTATACAAATTAGAAAGTTTTCATATCTACTTCCTCTATAAATTACTCCATTTGGTGAGAACAGAGTTCCCGGTTATGCTATACATCACGAAACTAATCACATCTGCTCTTTTCCCTTCTTCCTAAAATGAATTATTATATTTTACTAACGTTTAAAATTTAAAAGTGACAGCAACATTACCTTTCTACATCAAGAAATAATCAATTATTGTAAAAAACCAACAACAAAGTATTTTTTGCAAAATAAGTTAAATAATATATTAAACTCATTTGGAGTATCAGACCTTTCGTTTAAAGATAATATCCAAGACTGGAAATATAGTTATACTTTGTTACTGGAACCTGCAATTTCTCATTCTATAAATATAGACCAAGCCAACCTAATTTCTACTAATTACCATCCCTGGTATCTAAAAATACTAAAGGTCCCACCTTCTCAACCTTATATGAATAAACCAATAAATTTCAATGTGAGAAGACTAATAGCACAACGATGACTCAATAAATATTCTCTCTTCATTGGTAACATGTATTGATCTTTCATGCAACCAATGCCCATGGTGTAAAACGATGACTTCTTGATTCACTATTTACTACAGAATTGTCAAGGACTTGCAAATATACAAAACTCATTTAATATCACGCAAATACTCCAATGTAATCCATCTCATGATTTCAGAAATATCCTAAATAACTTCAACAAAAAAGACCTTTATAATCTATACAATTACTTCACCAAGAATTGTAAAAACACAGAAAATCTAAGATAACAAATTCAACATATATTAATGTTGTAAAATTTGACTATCTATGCACAGCTACTTTTATTAAAACTGTTTTTTTGTTTGTCAATAACAGGTTGACACAACTTTTTGCATAATAATTGTATAAATTTGCTAACCTGTTAGCTGTTCCAATATTTTGTAAACTTCTAACTAAATCATGTGCAACCCCCTGCAACAGGGATAATTTCCTTTTTTGCAAATAAAAATTGATTGATTATATTATAATGTATCCACCAATGAGGCCAGAGAATGGCAAAATGCATTTGTATAAAAAGGAAAATAAATGATTAAGTATCTGTTGTTTGGTTTATTTTGCCTTAGAAATCTCTTGAAATCAGACAGAACAAGTTTTATACTACTTGCTTATTTTCTAAAGATATTTTATTTTTAGATTTATATTTTTTAAGGAAGTTATTTAATTTAAAGTTTCTATTAATTTATCATTTTGTATTTAATCTCATTATATAAATATTGTATGAAATTCAAACATATAATTTAACGACTGTATAATTTTTACAATATTATTTTATATAGTATTGAAAATTAATAAAAAATACTTTTTATATAAGTTTTAATTTTAATAATTTATAATTACTATTAGAATTTCATTCAAAACTTTTATTTTAAAAATAATCTTAAACAAATATATATTTTAAAACATTACTTAATATTATAAAAGATTAAAGATAAGAATTAAATAACATATTACTGGCTAAATTACTTTATGATTTAACGCAAATCATTCAATTAACAAAAGATACAAGAAAAAATCATAGTAGGTAAGTTTTAATCATATTCAGTATATTTCTTCTTAAAAAACAAATATTAAAATTTTTAGCTTATTAAATATACTCTTATTATTTGAATTTTAGTTGAAAAATATAAAAATGAAATAAAATTTATATTATATAATAAATATAGATTTTAAAGATTATAATTATAATTATAATTATAAAATAGTTAAAATTTAAAATTTGTTAACAATTTATGATAATCGGTTAAGAGAGAAAATAAAAATTTACCTGATTATTATAATCTAAGGGTTTATGATGATGATAATCTAAGTTTATGATTATGATTTAGGTGTAGCTCCAATCTGAAATGAACAATGAAAATCAATTAATTATAAATAGCAGTACAGCAAGAGAAGACTGAATTAGGTTATACACTTATATAAATTCTATGTTACTAGCCCACACTATAATTTTAAATTTAATATTGTCATTCTGTTTTTTTTATCATTAGCAATTGTAAAATTATTAATTTGCTTTTCTCTTTGCAGTCAATTATAATGTGTTCATGGAATTAACTTTGTGAGCCTGTATTTTAGGCCACACTTTTCTTTCAGCTTTAGGTGTTATAGGTAAATATACCATACAGTATATTTACCTGTATTTTTTTTTGTAAGAAAAAAATACATTATATACAGTATATATATATATAATGTATTTTTTCTTACAAAAAGATAATATAATTTATAAAAGATAATTTATTTCCATAAGAAAATCTAGTCGACTACCTGGATTATGTAAAAAAAAAGTTTTCTGCTCTAAGATTATCAGCACAAAACCTTTCTCACTGTTGACACCTTCTTTTTGTTAAGGTAGGAAAATCATTCATTTTAAATAAATCAAAATACTATTATATTCAAGATTTTGATAATTTTATTTTCTCAGCAGGCGTTATGAAGAAAGTACTAAGTTTAAGTGGTTATATTATTATTTTTATCAAATATGGAGGTAAGTTTTGTCATACTTCTCTCTATAAATATTATGGAAAATATTATGAATAAAATATTATTAGAATATGAATATTATAAGCTGTATTTCAAACTGTGATTTTTTTGTATATACAGGATTCCTACTGAAAGTTTTGTTTTGAATTCCATGACTTTCCCTGACCAGCTTTGTCCAAATTCTCTGACCTTCACATTTCTTACAGTATGGAATATTGACATTTACTGTAAACATTGAGTACACACCTATCCCTCTTTTTGCACAGTTAATACATTCCAAAGACTGTGCCAAAATGAACAGTACATACATCCTGTAGAAAAATGTTTGATAGGATCTACAACTTCAATGTAATGAAAAAATTTTATTAGACCAAGAATAGAATTAAATTACAATTAAATTTTATAATTATTATTTTTCATACAATTCATATTTGCTCTCTTCCAAACAGTATTTACTTATTTATTCCTCAAATAAAACTTTTGAAATTTTAAAACATATTTGGATTTGAAGAATGTTTTGGGTAACTTAGAATTTAATATTGCTATAACATTTTCTAGTTTTTTAATAAAATTTAAAATAAAAATAAAATCTTGATTTTAAAAAAATGGAACTACAAATACATAATCGGAAACTACAAATAGATAATTTAAAGCTTCAAAAACAATTGATACAATTTAAAATGGATACTCTGACCAACAATTACTATCATAATAATATAATGATATATAATTATCCTAAATCTAAAAATATTTCCAAAGTAGAAATCCAGAAATTTATTAATTCTTCTCTAAACTTAAAAAAACACATCTCAAGATGATCTTAGAAATCACCCAAATAAATAATCTAATGACTGGATTAGTTGATTTATCTTTAATTAATAAACCGATTCTAGATCAGATGTTTAATACTTTTATATCAAAGAAACAACAAAAACAATTGGAGAACTGGGAAAATCTTCAAATAGCACCAGATCTTACAAATGATTCATGGAAACAAAGAAAACATTTTACCAATTTACTATGGTCTAAGAAAACAAAACCTCCAGTTAAATTACAAAATGACATTCTACTAATAGATCAAAATAGAATAACATTTAGTCTTGACTTGTAAAAAGGTGTCCACATAAACCAATTTTTCTCTTTTACTATATTACCAGAATAACAAGTTGATTAGTATTATAAAGTAAAACTCTCTTAATAAGAGACAACAAAAATAAATATGCTTCCAATTAGAAAATAAATATGCTACTTCAATCATTAACTGGAATAGGTAAGGTCTAAAGAACAAAATGCCATCACTAAACTTCTTTCAATTAAATTATGATCCAGATATAATTGGAATAACAGAAACCTGCATTACACAAGAATCATTTTATAACTCAAAGTTCTTTAATAATTATATTAGAGTAGCAGTGCCAGCACAGAAACCTTCTGGTCCTGGATGTCCAAGTGGTGGATTATGTATTATGATAAAAAAACACTTTTGCGAAATACATGTCATGAAATTCAATAATTATATCTTAATCCTAATTTTAATGAATAAACTGTTATTAAGAAACAAAGATTATAAGCAAATAATATTAATCAATATATATATTTCACCTAACAGCCTGACAAAATTAAATGAAATATTTAAACTAATAGATCTTTGGCAACATATTACGCCAAATATACTCCTATTAGTAGACTTTAATGCATGTATTGCTGAACTAACTGATTCACACTATAAAGGTCCTAACCACTTAATCCAAGACATAAGACGATCCAAAGATAAAACTATCTAATAAAATTAATCAAAGAAAATAAATTATATATCTTAAATGGATGATTCCATTCTGACTATCCCACAGAATTCATTTGTGTTGAACACAATGGAAGTTCAACTATAGATTGAATCTCTACAAATATAAAAAGTCTAAGCAAACTTATAATAACCTAATTAAAGCTAAAAAGAAAAAAAGATCTCCTAAATCTAGAATCAATACTTATAAAAAACAGTTATGATAGTAAATTATTTTGGACATTAATAAAAAATTTCGATTTAAAATGGAAACTGATGACAATAACCAAACAATCAACTTTGAATCATGGATAAAATTTATCATCGTTTTCCTATTATTCATGATATACCTACTTTAATATCTACTTATGATTCCAATAATGAATGCTTTAATGCTAAATTTACAATTAATGAACTTGAAGATATTATTAATAAAACTCTCAATAATACAGCTCCAGGAAGTGATTTCATTCCAATTAAATTTTTGTAAACACTACCAAATCAAGCAAGAGAAAAATTATTACAACTTTTCAATACTATGTATAAACCAATTATCCAGAATCCTGGAATTCTGTAATCCTTACTATGATATACAAAAAAGATGATAAAACCTACCATATATACTTCTTTCGTCATTTTCATCTGGAAAGAACTGTCCCTGGATATGCAATTCGACATGAGACTAACCAAATATGTTCTTATCCTCTTTTCTTAAAACGAATTATTAGATTCCATTATCGATTAAAATTTAAAAGCGACAGTAATATCTCATTTTTACATCATAAACTTATTAAACATAGTAAAAATTCAACTACTTCATGTCTCTGGCAAACTAAATTAAATCACATTCTAAATACTTTTGGAGTATCTACTGTATTGTCTGAAGATAATATCATGGATTTGAAATATGGATATACTTTATTGATGGAATCAGCAATTTTCCGGTCTATAAACTCTGATCAAATTAGCTTGAATCTCAGCTTCTATCACCCTTTGCATCAAGAAATATTTAATATACCCTCTTCACAACCATATATGATGAAACCGACCAACCTCAAGGTAAAATGATTGATAGCTCAACTACATCTAAATAAATACTCTCTTTATATTCTAGAAATTCTAGAAATGCTACAATTAGAGACTTTTTTGGACTGACAGGAGAATCAGTGTCACAAAATTGTGACGAGTCAAAATAAATATTCAAAAATACTCTCTTTTTATTAATCATATCTATATTGACCCATCAAGTAATAACTGTTTATGGTGCAAATCTAATGAATTTTCAATGAAACATCTACTTTTAAATTCTCAAAGTCTCTCACAAATACGTGATTCCCTCAATATCACTCAAATTATACAAGGCAAACCAACACAAAATTATAGAAATAACCTAAGTAATATAGACAAAATAGACCTATATAAAATATACAATTACTTTAACAAGANTATAAAGTTTATATTATTTCTATATTATCTTAACACATTGGAGATAATTTTCAAAAATTACATTGCATATTTCATCAAAACAATTTAATTATCAAATTGTTAAATTATAAGTTGTTTCAATACTGTTTATTGCATTTGGTCATGAATTTATGTTTGTAATATTAATACATAAAAATTTATAATACACAATCATCTACAAAATATGATAATATATATTACAGTACATGTATTAAATTTTATCTTTTCAATAAATACAAAGGCAAGATTCTAGAACAAATGTACCAGATTTTTGCCCCTCAAAAAGCTATATTAAATGTAAAAAAATTAAAATAACATTTTTACTGTTTTTTAGAAGTCTTTAAAACTAATTATTTTAAAACTTCTACAGACTTTTACAGGCAAAAGAATGGAATTGCAATGGGATCAATTATTATTCCAAAATAGGCAGAAATCTGCATGATTACGATAGATGAGAAAATATCACATTTTAGAGGTATTTGCTATTATGCGAGATATGTCGATGATGATATAATATATGGCTAACAAATAACAACAGCCAAAGAAGTTGAAGAATATGCAAATAATTTAAATAAAAACTTAAATTTACATAGAAAGATGAAAATAACCAAGAATTGAATTACCTCAACATTACAATTATTAACCCTCCTACCACAAGGCAGTGTCAGATCCAACACGTCTTGTTTCTTTTTGTTTGCACAGGAAATTACGCTAGTGATGGAGGGCTGTGACCATAAATTACCCTATCAGGCAGTAGTTCTCAAGACAGCAGCATGGAAAAATAAGTTGTCAACCTTTAATTTTTCTCATTATTTAGGTACTATTAGAGCGCACTCTGCTCCGGTGTCATATACAACACCCCCTTGTGATGTATGTTATATTTTTCATCATGTAGGAAAAGCCTAAAGAGCTATTTCTTGATTATCTACTGTTGTTTGGCAGATTACTATAGCAGAATATCAACAATTTACTAAGGACGAAGAAATTCGTCAAGAATTGTTACTGCAACAGGTCAAGAATTATTACAGTAAATTTCAATGGTCATAATAAGAATTCTTCAAAATTTCTGTATGATGAACTGAAGATGCTTGTTTCTTTCTGTCTGCAGAAAAATAAACATATCATCCATGCATTACACTGGTAAAATTGACCAAATCACCCAAAAACCTGTTATAGTCGAATTCTATAATGTGACTAAAGGGAATGTGGATGTTTTTGATAAGTTATGTCGTGCAAAATCTGGCCTATGCAATACTTCTATGGCATTTTAGATGCAGCAGCAGTAAATGTCTATGCAATCTACAAGCTAAATATGCCACAGAAACATAGAAGCAACACCTGTCGGGCTGACTTCTTGAAGAAACTTTCGTTTTCACTAGTTACACCACACATGAAGGAAAGGATGACATATCCCCACATTAGTAAAACATTGATAGAAGAAATGTACATCCTAGGAATAGAAATACTTGAAGATGCACCATCACTAAATCCATCCACATCAGCAAGGCCATAAAAATGTTCCTTTTGTGGATGAAAAAAAAATTAAAGAGGAAATCACCTATGCACCAAGTGCAAGAAAAGTATTTGTGGTGAACACAAGAAAGTGATTTCTCTGTCATGCATATGATTAAATAAATAAAAATAAAAACATTTGTTCTTAAAAAATAAAAACATTTGTTCTTAAAAAATAAAATATTTGTTCCTAATTTAAAAAACTGTAATTGTAATCTTGTAAATAAAAAAACTTTGTTCCTAATTAAACACAATTTTGTAAGTTTTATAATTTATTTTGTATACTAGTACTTTCTATGTATTAACAGGACTTAATTATACTGGGAAATTATGGATGCAGATGATATTTAGTCTTACAGTTCAAAAATAATGTTCTTTATTTAGTTCACCTGAACAGGTGAACTAAATAAAGAACATTATTTTTGATGCATCCTGGAACAACATACTTCAGTATAAAAAAACTTCTGTAAACTAATAATGTATCCATTGACATTCTTTTTGCACTTTGACGAGAATAAAAAAAACTAATGTTTTTGTTATCTTTAACCAAACCAAGTCAACCAAGTGTTTAAAACTAATCAGCAATCATTATCTTTGAAGAAATACCAGTTAAACATGGTAGACCTCCACTTAACGGGACTAAACTGGGAAGTAACAAGACTCAACCAAGCCCATCTAACTCCATGCTTATAACAGATTTTAACCTAATAGTGGATAAAGACGTATAAAAACCATCCTTAGTGATCAACAATTCTCATGGACAATATCACAAAGTCTACAAAGTTTTCCATATGAGTCTAATGCATTCTATCTGATCTCTCTGACTAATTCAGGTGACTCACCTGTCACTTCAACAACAGATCTACGGTATAAAATCTCGGAACTGATAAATACTTCTAATGACAAGCAATCTTCCCAAATGACTTTTATAAAAGAAGACTTGGATGCTTTGATTAATGAACTTCACTATAACAATATATTTGTATAATTATGCTAAGTCAAAAAAATATCTCTAAATTAAAATTTCATAACTTTATCAATTGTTCACTAAACATGCATAATGCATCACAAGAAGAGATTCTAGACATCTAGACATAACTCAAATAACCAAATCAACCAATCCAGTCATAAGACTAACATTTAGTAATAAACAGGTTAATGACCAGGTTTTTAATGCCTTTATTTCAAAGAAATAACAGAATCTGTTGGAAAATTGGGAAAATATGTAGATCTCACCAGACCACTAAGGAATCATGAAAAATATGAAAACACTTCCAACCTATTATGACATAAGAAAACAAAACTGTCCAATAAAACTACGAAATGATATTTTACTAATAGGCCAAGGCAGAATAACATTCGGTATCAATAAAGGAAAGTTGGTTTATGTGGATACTTTTTTGCTTTTTGCCAATCTGGGGTGTTCACTATTTATACAAATTAGAAAGTTTTCATATCTACTTCCTCTATAAATTACTCCATTTGGTGAGAACAGAGTTCCCGGTTATGCTATACATCACGAAACTAATCACATCTGCTCTTTTCCCTTCTTCCTAAAATGAATTATTATATTTTACTAACGTTTAAAATTTAAAAGTGACAGCAACATTACCTTTCTACATCAAGAAATAATCAATTATTGTAAAAAACCAACAACAAAGTATTTTTTGCAAAATAAGTTAAATAATATATTAAACTCATTTGGAGTATCAGACCTTTCGTTTAAAGATAATATCCAAGACTGGAAATATAGTTATACTTTGTTACTGGAACCTGCAATTTCTCATTCTATAAATATAGACCAAGCCAACCTAATTTCTACTAATTACCATCCCTGGTATCTAAAAATACTAAAGGTCCCACCTTCTCAACCTTATATGAATAAACCAATAAATTTCAATGTGAGAAGACTAATAGCACAACGATGACTCAATAAATATTCTCTCTTCATTGGTAACATGTATTGATCTTTCATGCAACCAATGCCCATGGTGTAAAACGATGACTTCTTGATTCACTATTTACTACAGAATTGTCAAGGACTTGCAAATATACAAAACTCATTTAATATCACGCAAATACTCCAATGTAATCCATCTCATGATTTCAGAAATATCCTAAATAACTTCAACAAAAAAGACCTTTATAATCTATACAATTACTTCACCAAGAATTGTAAAAACACAGAAAATCTAAGATAACAAATTCAACATATATTAATGTTGTAAAATTTGACTATCTATGCACAGCTACTTTTATTAAAACTGTTTTTTTGTTTGTCAATAACAGGTTGACACAACTTTTTGCATAATAATTGTATAAATTTGCTAACCTGTTAGCTGTTCCAATATTTTGTAAACTTCTAACTAAATCATGTGCAACCCCCTGCAACAGGGATAATTTCCTTTTTTGCAAATAAAAATTGATTGATTATATTATAATGTATCCACCAATGAGGCCAGAGAATGGCAAAATGCATTTGTATAAAAAGGAAAATAAATGATTAAGTATCTGTTGTTTGGTTTATTTTGCCTTAGAAATCTCTTGAAATCAGACAGAACAAGTTTTATACTACTTGCTTATTTTCTAAAGATATTTTATTTTTAGATTTATATTTTTTAAGGAAGTGTATTTAATTTAAAGTTTCTATTAATTTATCATTTTGTATTTAATCTCATTATATAAATATTGTATGAAATTCAAACATATAATTTAACGACTATAATTTTTACAATATTATTTTATATAGTATTGAAAATTAATAAAAAATACTTTTTATATAAGTTTTAATTTTAATAATTTATAATTACTATTAGAATTTCATTCAAAACTTTTATTTTAAAAATAATCTTAAACAAATATATATTTTAAAACATTACTTAATATTATAAAAGATTAAAGATAAGAATTAAATAACATATTACTGGCTAAATTACTTTATGATTTAACGCAAATCATTCAATTAACAAAAGATACAAGAAAAAATCATAGTAGGTAAGTTTTAATCATATTCAGTATATTTCTTCTTAAAAAACAAATATTAAAATTTTTAGCTTATTAAATATACTCTTATTATTTGAATTTTAGTTGAAAAATATAAAAATGAAATAAAATTTATATTATATAATAAATATAGATTTTAAAGATTATAATTATAATTATAATTATAAAATAGTTAAAATTTAAAATTTGTTAACAATTTATGATAATCGGTTAAGAGAGAAAATAAAAATTTACCTGATTATTATAATCTAAGGGTTTATGATGATGATAATCTAAGTTTATGATTATGATTTAGGTGTAGCTCCAATCTGAAATGAACAATGAAAATCAATTAATTATAAATAGCAGTACAGCAAGAGAAGACTGAATTAGGTTATACACTTATATAAATTCTATGTTACTAGCCCACACTATAATTTTAAATTTAATATTGTCATTCTGTTTTTTTTATCATTAGCAATTGTAAAATTATTAATTTGCTTTTCTCTTTGCAGTCAATTATAATGTGTTCATGGAATTAACTTTGTGAGCCTGTATTTTAGGCCACACTTTTCTTTCAGCTTTAGGTGTTATAGGTAAATATACCATACAGTATATTTACCTGTATTTTTTTTTGTAAGAAAAAAATACATTATATACAGTATATATATATATAATGTATTTTTTCTTACAAAAAGATAATATAATTTATAAAAGATAATTTATTTCCATAAGAAAATCTAGTCGACTACCTGGATTATGTAAAAAAAAAGTTTTCTGCTCTAAGATTATCAGCACAAAACCTTTCTCACTGTTGACACCTTCTTTTTGTTAAGGTAGGAAAATCATTCATTTTAAATAAATCAAAATACTATTATATTCAAGATTTTGATAATTTTATTTTCTCAGCAGGCGTTATGAAGAAAGTACTAAGTTTAAGTGGTTATATTATTATTTTTATCAAATATGGAGGTAAGTTTTGTCATACTTCTCTCTATAAATATTATGGAAAATATTATGAATAAAATATTATTAGAATATGAATATTATAAGCTGTATTTCAAACTGTGATTTTTTTGTATATACAGGAATCCTACTGAAAGTTTTGTTTTGAATTCCATGACTTTCCCTGACCAACTTTGTCCAAATTCTCTGACCTTCACATTTCTTACAGTATGGAATATTGACATTTACTGTAAACATTGAGTACACACCTATCCCTCTTTTTGCACAGTTAATACATTCCAAAGACTGTGCCAAAATGAACAGTACATACATCCTGTAGAAAAATGTTTGATAGGATCTACAACTTCAATGTAATGAAAAAATTTTATTAGACCAAGAATAGAATTAAATTACAATTAAATTTTATAATTATTATTTTTCATACAATTCATATTTGCTCTCTTCCAAACAGTATTTACTTATTTATTCCTCAAATAAAACTTTTGAAATTTTAAAACATATTTGGATTTGAAGAATGTTTTGGGTAACTTAGAATTTAATATTGCTATAACATTTTCTAGTTTTTTAATAAAATTTAAAATAAAAATAAAATCTTGATTTTAAAAAAATGGAACTACAAATACATAATCGGAAACTACAAATAGATAATTTAAAGCTTCAAAAACAATTGATACAATTTAAAATGGATACTCTGACCAACAATTACTATCATAATAATATAATGATATATAATTATCCTAAATCTAAAAATATTTCCAAAGTAGAAATCCAGAAATTTATTAATTCTTCTCTAAACTTAAAAAAACACATCTCAAGATGATCTTAGAAATCACCCAAATAAATAATCTAATGACTGGATTAGTTGATTTATCTTTAATTAATAAACCGATTCTAGATCAGATGTTTAATACTTTTATATCAAAGAAACAACAAAAACAATTGGAGAACTGGGAAAATCTTCAAATAGCACCAGATCTTACAAATGATTCATGGAAACAAAGAAAACATTTTACCAATTTACTATGGTCTAAGAAAACAAAACCTCCAGTTAAATTACAAAATGACATTCTACTAATAGATCAAAATAGAATAACATTTAGTCTTGACTTGTAAAAAGGTGTCCACATAAACCAATTTTTCTCTTTTACTATATTACCAGAATAACAAGTTGATTAGTATTATAAAGTAAAACTCTCTTAATAAGAGACAACAAAAATAAATATGCTTCCAATTAGAAAATAAATATGCTACTTCGATCATTAACTGGAATAGGCAAGGTCTAAAGAACAAAATGCCATCACTAAACTTCTTTCAATTAAATTATGATTCTGATATAATTGGAATAACAGAAACCTGCATTACACAAGAATCATTTTATAAGTCAAAGTTCTTTAATAATTATATTAGAGTAGCAGTGCCAGCACAGAAACCTTCCAGTACTGGATGTCCAAGTGGTGGAAACACTTGTGAAATACATGTCATGAAATCAATATGTATATTCCATAATAATAATTGATTAATAATATTATACATATTGATTAATAATATTAATCAATATGTATATTCCACCTAACAGCCTGACAAAATTGAATGAAATATTTAAACTAATAGATCTTTGGCAACATATTACGCCAAATATACTCCTATTAGTAGACTTTAATGCATGTATTGCTGAACCAACTGATTCACACTATAAAGGTCCTAACCACTTAATCCAAGACATAAGACGATCCAAAGATAAAACTATCTAATAAAATTAATCAAAGAAAATAAATTATATATCTTAAATGGATGACTCCATTCTGACTATCCCACAGAATTCATTTGTGTTGAACACAATGGAAGTTCAACTATAGATTGAATCTCTACAAATATAAAAAGTCTAAGCAAACTTATAATAACCTAATTAAAGCTAAAAAGAAAAAAAGATCTCCTAAATCTAGAATCAATACTTATAAAAAACAGTTATGATAGTAAATTATTTTGGACATTAATAAAAAATTTCGATTTAAAATGGAAACTGATGACAATAACCAAACAATCAACTTTGAATCATGGATAAAATTTACCATCATTTTCCTATTATTCATGATTTACCTACTTTAATATCTACTTATGATTCCAATAACTCTGATCAAATTAGCTTGAATCACAGCTTTTATCACCCTTTGCATCAAGAAATATTTAATATACCCTCTTCACAACCATATATGATGAAACTGACCAACCTCAAGGTAAAATGATTGATAGCACAACTACATCTAAATAAATACTCTATATTAATCATATCTATATTGACCCATCAAGTAATAACTGTTTATGGTGCAAATCTAATGAATTTTCAATGAAACATCTACTTTTAAATTCTCAGTCTCTCACAAATATGTGATTCTTTCAATATCACTCAAATTATACAAGGCAAACCAACACAAAATTATAGAAATAACCTAAGTAATATAGACAAAATAGACCTATATAAAATATACAATTACTTTAACAAGATGATAAAAATGCTAGATAATTAGACTTGTCAAATTAATTTATAAAATAATGTTCAGTATACATACAGTACTGTTGCATAATTATTATTGTTAATGTAAAAAGTGAAATGTAATTTAACTCATTACTGTAAATTATATCACAATAAAATTAATATGTAAATTATTGTAAAACAACTATTATTACTATTATTCTGTTAATTATTTTAATAATATGTATCCTACTAAATTAAATGTATTTGCCTGCAACAGAGAAAATTTCCTTATGCAAAATAAAGTTTTGATTGATTGATATATTTTTGAATTTCAATTAATTTAAGAATGTATAACTAAATGTGTTTCATAATGTTATTAAATTATAACCAACTTTATAATTAAGAAAATTTATCTTCATTTTTATTATAAGAATTTTCTAAATAACTTTCAACATTAAATAACTCTTGTGAAAATTTGAAATTTTATTTAATTTGAAAAGTTTTCCCATTTTTATCATTAATGAACTTATAATTTATAAACATGCTAATAATAATTTCTTTGAAATTAAATTTTAAAGAAAAATAATAGTTATGTTCACTGAAATTTTCCAAAAATGATATGAATATTATTAGCATATAAATACTCTGATCAATGATAATTTATTCTTGAATAAATTATTAATCAGATAGATATGTATTTGAAAATTATAGTGAAATTTCATGCATATTCATTAAGCCTTATTTGCTTATTTGAATTTTTTTACAAAAATTGACTTATTTTAAAAAATGATTTAGGATAAATTGATTAATAAATATATATGCAAAGTATGCAAAGACAATAATATATAAATTATTCAAAATAATTGAACAAATATGAAGTTAAAAGTAATCATGACGAATAAAAGTAATGAAAAGTGAACACAAAAATACATATATGATATATAATAAAAAATATAGTTAATGTAAGACTGCATTAAATCTCAAATGTATAAATTCTTGTGGAATGAGTTATTGCAATAGAATTGAAAAAAAAATTTAACTAGAAATTTACAATTGCCACATTTAAGTAAAAATCAAAGTTTTACCTTAGAAATTCAACTTCTTGATAATTTTTAAAGATATTAAAGATATAAAAATATTAAAGATTTTTTTATCAGAATTAAAATTAAAATCTAAAATATTACTTCAATATATGAAAAGAAATATCCCAATTTTTATTTTATCTGTTGAATTTTCATAGAACATATATTTGATCAAAATAAATTATTTATTTTTAGTCATTAAATATATAGATTATTATAATTATGAGAAACAAGTAATAATTATCACTGTTTTGAAAAGAAAAATTAAATAAATGTATAATTTTATAGAAGAATTTTATTTGAAGATGTTACATTAATTACGAACGATTATACATTCGTAATTATAAATCTAGAATATATAAATAACATATTGATGTTATTTATATATACGAACGATTATTTATTGTGACATCGTGACAATACTGGGCTTGCAATTTTTAATCACTTTTAATTTATTTAATTTAAAATACAGTATATCCTCTCCGCCTGAAATTAGTAGTGGCTTGCCCCTGTACATCATACTTTTCCTTTAACAATAGAGTCGTGCCGGTCATCAATTAACTGCTTTCGGGGGGGGATGTTTTGAATTTAAAAAAAAGTGACTTCCGGTTTTCATAAGTTGCCCCCTACGGTTTCCATATCTGGTTTCGTCTTTCATCTAACTCCGTTCTCGTGATTAGGAAAGACACACAGACAGACACACGACAGTGCGAATTTATATGTCTACTACAAATTTTTTCAAATTGCAGCCCAATAATACTTACATTAATTAATTAATAAATACAATGAAAGTGAAAATAAAAATATGTACTTTTTAGATAGTTCTCAAAATATCAAATAATATTTAAAAATAATGTTTTAACTGTATACTATATTGTTTAGTATGAAAATATAAATAATACTAGTAATATTTTTTATAAAAACAAAAATAAGAAAAAATACATTTTTAATGTATTTTGTTATTTGTTTCAATTAATTTAAATAATACATTAAATAAATGAGATATATGAAATATCATAAACTTATCGTTTTCATAAATACGAAAATATGAGCTGCTACATGTTTCTAATATTTTTTCTTTGTTTGAAAGCTTACAGTATAGGAACGTGCAGCACACGTAGGCTTTTATTCCACGCGGTGGAGAAAATGCCTGTCGGGAGGACTTTTATGGCGTTATTCTTATGGGAAACGGGCCCCCTATTCAAGAGATTATGAACGTGAAGAAAACCCGAAAAACTCCACGTAGCCAGCCCTATCCGAGCGCTGCGCGAACCCACGACCGAACTTCTAGTGTTTACGGTATGGACCACCCGAGAGCGAGGAACAGCCTATTGGTGGGCGAATATTTAAAACTTCAGTTAGTTAAATTAATAAATGGTTCGGAATNTTTGTTTCCCTAAATTTATGATTTTTTTCTTTTTAAGAATTATTCAAATAGATTTTCTCTTCTTAATATCTTGAAAAATATATTCCATAGTCAAATGTAACAATATTGTATGCTCAGGGAAGACTAATTTAATAAATTATTTCATCAACGATTATTGAGATGTAACAAAACATTTTTGTTATTTGAATTTAGTTTTTAATGTTTCTAATTTTAATACATACATATTTAAATTTCTCAAAATGAATTATTACTTTGAAGACAAAAAAGGTANGAAAACCCGAAAAACTCCACGTAGCCAGCCCTATCCGAGCGCTGCGCGAACCCACGACCGAACTTCTAGTGTTTACGGTATGGACCACCCGAGAGCGAGGAACAGCCTATTGGTGGGCGAATATTTAAAACTTCAGTTAGTTAAATTAATAAATGGTTCGGAATTTCTATAAGAGTATTTGTATACTATCACTAATCAAAAATTTAATCCAGAGTCTCGCATGTATATATACTTAATATTTTAATATACAACATAAAGAAAAAACTAGCAAGA